TATGCAAAACCAACAGCCAACATCATTCTTAATGGAGAGAGGCTGAAAACATTCCCCTTGAGAACAGGAACAAGACAAGTATGCCCTTTATCACCACTCCTATTTAACATTGTGCTGGAAATTCTAGCTAGAGCAATAAGGCAAGAAAAAGAAATAAAGGACATCCAAATTGGTAATGAAGAAGTTAAACTGTCCCTGTTTGCAGATGATATGATACTATACATAGAAAACCCTATATACTCCACGAGAAAGCTACTGGAACTAATAGAAGGATTCAGCAGAGTAGCAGGATACAAGATAAACACACAAAAATCAGTTGGATTCCTATACATCAATAAACAGAATAATGAAATGGAAATCAGGAAAATAATACCATTTATAATAACCCCTAAAAAAATAAAATACTAAGGAATAAATCTACCCAGGGATGTAAAAGACCTATACAAAGAAAACTGCAAGAAACCCAAAGGGATATACTTAAATGGAAAAACACACCAGGCTCATGGATAGGTAAACTCAACATAGTGAAAATGATAGTTCTACCCAAAGCAATTTACAAATACAATGCAATCCCGATCCAAATACCAACAACATTCCTCAAAGAGATGGAAAAACTAATCATTAACTTTATATGGAAAGGGAAGAAGCCCCAAATAAGTAAAGCACTATTGAAGAAGAAGAATAAAGTTGGAGGACTCACACTACCTGACTTCAGAACCTACTATAAAGCTACGGTAGTCATAACAGCCTGGTACTGGTACAACGACAGACACGTTGACCAACGGAACAGAATTGAGAACCCAGATGTAAATCCATCCATCTACGGTCACCTGATCTTCGACAAGGACCCAAAGTCCATCAAATGGGGAAAAGACAGTCTTTTTAACAAATGGTGTTGGCAAAACTGGATGTCCACCTGCAAAAAAACGAAACAGGACCCATACCTCACGCCATATACAAAAACTAATTCAAAATGGATCAAAAACCTAAATATAAAGCCAAAAACTATAAAGTTCTAGAAGAAAAAATAAGACCAACGCTACAAGCCCTAACACACGGCATTAACAGGATACAAACCATAACCATCAACACAATAACTCCAGAAGATAACCTAGATAAATGGGATCTTCTAAAAATCAAACACCTATGCTCTTCAAAAGACTTCACCAAAAGAGTAAAAAGAGAACCTACAGACTGGGAAAAAATTGTTGGACAGCGCAAGTCAGACAAAAGTCTAATCTCCATAATCTACAGAAAATCCAACACCTCTACAACAAAAAACAAATAATCCAGTTTAAAAAAATGGGCAAAGGAAATGAACACACACTTCACCAAAGAAGACATTCAAGCAGCCAACAGACTAGCCATTAGAGAAATGCAAATTAAAGCCACAATGAGATACCATCTCACCCCGGCATTACTGGCAAGATTCAAAAACACTAGAAATAAGAAATACTGGAGAGGCTGCGGGGAGATCGGGATTCTTATGCACTGCTGGT